TCCTTTAATTTGGTGGTCACATAAGCGAGCGGCATATACAGGCAAATGGGTTGGCACGCATTAAAAGTGCGCGTGTTAATATAATTAAGAAATAAGAAGGTGATGAGCACACACATACCCCTGGACCCTGCTGGGACGTGCTTCATGCGTTTAAATGAATATGGGGCTTCAAACAAACGAACAAACAAAAGCCTGGCGTATGTTGGATGCCTTGGGTTCTAAGGATTCACACAAATTAAACGACGACATTGATCGATAGATGTTGTTTGTTGGTTTGTTTTTGCGTGGGCAGGGAATTGTTAAAGAGATTAGGCGGCGGGATGATGATAATGCAAGTGACAGCGATATGGAGATGGATGGTGCGTGCTGCGTAGCCTTCGACTCCTTTGCACCGACGTCCTCAACCTCAGCCGCATTCCGTCCTCCACATATACATACATTTCCCTGCTCTCTTTATTCCTTCACTTCCGTTGCTTCGCTTTCATGATTTCTTTTTCATTCTTCTCACCAATTTTAAGTTCAGGTAATCGATCATCACAGTAATGCTCGCCCTTTTCTGATCAACAGATCAATGGGTTTCTGTTTGTAGACATTCCAGCTTAATTGCTTGTGACATGATAGATATCCGCGTCGTCAACTCACGATTGAGTGGGTCGGGTTGAAAGGAAAATTGATAAGATGGCCCTGCTATATAAATATATACACATGATGAGCACATCCATGTTGTACGTGTATTGTTAACACGTGATCCAATTAAATTACCGACTTCAGTTTCCACTTTCACATCCAGTTAATCTTGTGCTCATGGATTTAATTAATCATGGAATTAATGGTGATACTATTTAATGATCTTGTGTGGATAGACACAGACGGATGGCAGATGTGGTGTGGAAAAAAGGCTATAGCTTAGAGAGGGTGCTTTTGTTGGCGGCAAGCTAAGTGTGAGGAGAAAAAGGGAATGGTTTTTCTTTTTTTTCTTGTTTTGTGGCGCACACAAATCATGTAGATATTCATACACCTTCATTAATTCCACTCCCTCTGCTTGCTCCCAATCCACTGCTTCTTCTCCCTCCAATTCATTGCCTGTAAATATATATATATATATATATATATCCAACTGCTCCTGCCTTTTTAAATATTTTTTTTCACTCAAATAATGACCCTATATATATATATATATATATTCCGCCCCAAGCACACGCACATGTATAAATCCAACAATATAAATTAATCTGCGCTCCCAAGAATCGAGAATACAAACACAATCCAGAGCATATATATGTATATCTACATATAATGAACATGGGTGGTCCGGTTGGTATGTATGGCGTCCAATTATATAGTGAAAGTCCACGTCACGCATCATGTGACTTTTGGGATCTTATTCACCAAACGGAACCCGAATCCACCGACCCCCACATTTCTTCTTCCATTGCTTTCCTTGTCCCTTTCCCCCGTATAAGTACAGCAGCTATGTAACTATAATTGCCATATGTGAAAGAATTAGCTATTCTTGAAAAACATGTGTTGCTGTTCTTATAATGTCATTTTCTTAGTTATTTACATTAAAAATTATCCCTGGATTATTTTAAGAAAAAATGACTGTGACAAATAAAGAAAATTCATCGATGTCTCACATTTAAAATAAAAAAAAATTGTATAACTAGCTCTTTTATATATTTAGATGTAAAGAGTATACACATGCGCGCAGATATATGTAAGAAGCTAATCCACTTCAATCATCGGTGCCCATAATTAAATTTGACCTTCAAAAGGAGGCAAGTACCGGAGTAAGAGGAGCTATCATTTGAATGGGTCCATATTTAATTATTTTATATCTGAATAAATAAACTATATAACATATCCATTAAAAAAAAAAAACTAAAGGAGGAGATTCCAGACTCATTTTGAAGGTGCGGGTGTGTGCGCGCGCGCGCGTCGGAAAACACGCCCACACGGTGTATCTGATGAGGAGAAAACAGAGAAAGGGACGGGGGACTCGAAACACACGTGTGGTGTGTGGGTGGGATTAGGCTGCCCCTAATTAAGCCCTCCGACCTTTGACTGCATCTCCCGTTGACCACTCCTCATCGCCTATCATGCCCTTCCCCGCTGTGGGGTCCCTTCCTGTTTCTTGACTTTGATTTCTTCTTCCCTGCTGCCACCCCCCGTCTCCGTACATACAATATATTTTGCTGATGTCTTTTTAAATCACACATAACAAATATTATGCTGCGGTGTTTAATGAATATTTAATGCCATTTAAAAGAAAAACACTTTAAGCAATTGAATTAAAATTTACTGCAAGTTTATATGCCTCTCATTTTTTCAGAATATTTTCAAACGTGAGACTTCTTATTATGTTCTAATATTCACCTCTTGGCGTTTTTCTTCTGTGCTTCCTTACTGATGAAAAGGAATGGTACAATTTTTTTATTCTCTTGAAGCCATTAATCACTGATCGGTAATTCATTGGGTTTATCTCCATAATGAACCCCAGAGATTCACATCCTTCCCACTCAGGCGAGGCTCCTAGCTACTTTCTGTTCGCCGGGTTTACACAAAGCCAAATTAAGCCTTACGTGTCAGAGACCCCGATGCCAGAATAATATTCAAATCGAAAAGTTGATTCAATCGGGAGCAAATTAAACCAGGCGAGCTTACGGGTCATCAGGAAAGGGTATATTAGCCTAATTTCTGGCCATATTGTTGCTTTTTATGTATACATGTGCGCACGCCCATTTGGACCCCTCAGCGAACACGGAGGGTATATATTTAAGAGACAGAAATCTATTCTTCGATGGTGCGGTTAACATGGTAACAACTTTAGATCTTAATGCATTTAGCTCTCAGCTTCACCGAGAAGTCTGAGGCCCCCTTAGCTTGTTTTGAATAGAACTAACAATAATTTGTGGGGTGGAGAAGACGCCAAAGAAGAATGGATCCTCTAAAAGTTGAAGTTGAATGCTGAGCATTAATCAGTATCAATACTTCAACCCACGAGAATGGAGTAGTTAGGTGCCAAAAAGAAAGGATGTTTAAAGATTGAAAAGATGCTCAGAGTGCGCACACATGCGCACACACATATATATGAACACCACAGGGTTCAAATTTCAAGGGGAAAGCAGACCCTACGCTGCGCATGTGAATAAATCTGAACCCGACGACCATCTAGTAACAGAATCTTGTGCTCCTTATTATTAACTAGATTTGTTTTTTTAGTTGATAATATTTTAAGAGATTCGGAAACTTGGGAGGCAAGTAATTCTGCCACATTCCCATCTGTGAACAAATTCTGTAGGTTTTTTTTTTTCCTGATTGCTGATGCTGACTGCCAACCTTCATATACGGAGTGTCTTTAATAGTTTCTGTTTTCTGGTGACATGCTGACTTAGCTTCGCTGTCTCCTTCTGACTCTTTGACTTAGAACACGCAAGAACGACGAAGATCCGAAATACAAGCCATATAATATTCAGTAGCTTATTGATGAAACAAGAATGCCAGCAAGGAAATGAATCAGGAAAAAGGGAAAGAAAGAATTTTGGGTGCCATTCCATTTCCAGGGAGCAGTTTGGAATTAAACTATGATGGATTTGACCATCATTCGGTCTTGGTGAGCGGGAAGAAAACTAGCTTCGGCTAGCTTTCAATGAACAATTTATTAAAATCGATAAAAATAATTATCAGTCAAAACTTTTTAACAGTATGTAGTCTATATTTTAAGGTGAACCGCATGGCAGGCTGATAGCGCAAGAAAGGAGGCAACATTCCGGTTCATATTATTAGTCTGACAGACGTGGGTTTGCTTTATGGTTGTGCTTTTTTGGACCTTTGTTTGGCTTTACTGCTCAGAGCTTCAAGCATCGAATAATGAGAGGTAGAAGAGTAGCGTCCAGAGTACAGACTAGAGACCAAGGAGCAGGCCAGGTGGGTGATTCCTATTTGCTTTTCTCCTCTTCCATTTTGAAGCTCTCTCTGCTTCTTCGACACCTGTGCCTCTTCCCCATCCAGCCACCCCCTGCTATCCTTTTCCTTCCATGTACTGCTGTCACATGAACCTGCCACTCCCTTATTTTGTTTATTGGCTGCGATGGCAAATTATTAGAGAGTATGCGAAGAAGCAAGGGAATAATATTTGACAGCAGGAGAAAAATAGTATGCTTCCTTTTGTGGTTAGTTTAGTTGAAAGAGGAAAAAAAAGTCGTGGTGGGATATACCCTCCCATTGTAAAAAGTACAGGTGCATGTTTTTATGGCATAGTTTACTTGTTTACTTACTGCAGACAGGGCGGGCGCCCGCCGCCTCTTAACCGGGAGACGCGGCTCTTTCTTTATCATAAGAAGTTAGAACAAGGTTATCCATTTTCACTTACTCAGCATCCTACTCCTAAAATTTACTTGCTGCATGAACGAACGAACACGTGCCGTTCTCTTGAGAGTCAGAGGGGGATGGCCTTTTTTTTTTTTTGAAAACTGAAGAGGCCTAATGAACTCAAAGCCCAATTATGGGAATAAATTCACCCCTCCAAAACACAAATTAGGCGGATAAAAGAGTTACTGGTTGCAAGAAATTGGTCTTTGAAAAAAAGGGAAAGAAAATAATAAAGGGATTAAAAAAAAAAGAGAGAGATGGTTGTGCAGAGAAAGAGTAAAATGGGAGTAGGCCACGTGAAGAAAGAGTCGGCTGAGGGATGTCGGGCACTACTGGTAGTTATGATGAGTTGACGACCCCTCTTTTTTCCTTCCTCTAATGTTCATTTAATTATATCCTTAAAAATAACACAGAAAACGGCGGTGGCTTCATTGCAACTACGGCAAAGATGCGGGGTCAATCCCATCCATCTCCTCAAGAAGACCCTGGCCCGCCCACCCCCACGGGCCCCCCCCGGCGGACATCGGGTCCTTTCCAAACTTGTGGGTCCCATCGCCCCAGCCTTTTGCCTTCTTCCTATAAATCCACCCTCTTCCCTTCCTCTGCTCCCACAGCACCCCCTTCTGCTTCCTCTCCCCGAACTCTACAGCCTTCTTCCCTTTCCGGTATTCATATATTATTATATTGTTCCTGCCACTTTCTTTCGTTCCTTCACAGGTTTATATCCTTTTCTTTGCACACCCATTGGCCCTGTACATCCGCACCTACTCTCGCATTCTTCTGTTTGCACTCTGTCTTGACTCGTTGGGTTTGTGTTTGCGCTGGCAGTGATCATGACGCAGCAGAATGTGATGGTTTCGGATGCGAACCCCGGGCTCAACATGGCTATTTCTGCCTCTGTTTCAAACTCCTCCATTTTCACGGCCACGGCACACAAACCGCCCTCCGCGCCCTCCGCCTATATTTCCATTCCCCGGAGGAAGGTGCTCAAGAACCTCGAAATCAATGCTTGGGTTGACTCCATGAGAGCCTCTTCTCCCACCCATGCCAAATCCACTCCTTCTCTCACTGAAGAACATAGCTCTTGGATTGTGAGTATCGCTCACACTCGCATCGCCTTCCGCTTTACTCCCTGTTTGTAAAAATGTTGGATTGATTTTCCCTTTTGTTTATCATTCAATATTGTTTATGAAACAGCTTCACCACCCCTCTGCATTAGACATGTTTGAGCAAATCATCGATGCCTCCAAAGGCAAGCAGATCGTTATGTTCCTGGATTACGATGGCACGCTCTCGCCCATCGTTAACGACCCCGACCGTGCTTTCATGTCCGATGAAGTGAGTTGTCAGCTCATAACCATGTCGTCCTGTTCCTTTTCCCTGTTCCATGTTGGAATTTCTGCTAATATCAGCTTTATCATATTCTTATCAGATGAGAAAAGCAGTAAGAAAACTCGCGAGGTGTTTTCCCACTGCCATAGTAAGCGGCAGATGCAGAGACAAGGTAATCTTAAGAGCCTGCTTATCATTGCGATTAAATGATGGTTTCCATCTTTTTTTTTTCTTTTTATGTTTCGGCCCTCCATTAACTTAATTTTTTTAATCTGCCAACAACAGGTATACAGCTTTGTTCGCCTGGCGGAGCTATATTATGCGGGAAGCCATGGCATGGATATCAGAGGCCCAACAAGATGCTCCAAATACAATAAAGTGAGCAACTTGTTGAATACCGTAATGTATAGTATTCTAAATTCCTAATCAAGAAAGGTTGTCATTTACATTAATCATGATCGACAGGAAAGCAAAGCAGAGGCAATTCTTTTTCAGCCTGCCAGTGAGTTTCTTCCCATGATAGATGAGGTTCGTCTTATTTCCCCTTCCCTCTTATTCTACTTGGTTACATGTCAATCTACAAGGCTCTAAATTTAAGTTGTTTATGGAATCCATTTTCAGGTGTACCAAGCGTTAGTTGAGAAAACCAAATCAACACCAGGAGCGACGGTGGAGAACAACAAGTTCTGCGTCTCTGTTCATTATCGGTGTGTTGATGAGAAGGTATGGTTATGAGCCCATACGTGTGTAAATTTTCATGTGAATATAGCTCAGTTACAGACGAACTGAAATTATATATGCGCCATACACAGAAATGGAGTGAACTGGCTCACCAAGTGAAATCGGTGCTTAAGGAGTACCCCAAGCTTCGTCTAACCCAAGGAAGGAAGGTGGGCCATAATTCTGTTTTCTTGTTTTACTCGTCTGCTTTTCCTGGGGGTATTTGATTTATTTTAAGATCGCCTATCAAAACAAAAGTTATCGAGAGAAATGTCTCACTTTCACTCATTATTTGTTTAATACAGGTTTTTGAGATTCGTCCCGCTATTAAATGGGACAAAGGGAAAGCCCTAGAATTTCTGCTAGAGTCACTTGGTGAGTTCAGGTTTGGTTGCAACAATGAGCCCAATATTAAACAATTCGCACAGCAATCTGAATAACGAATTATTTTCAACAGGATTTGCCAATTGCGCTGATGTCTTCCCTGTCTACATTGGTGATGATCGAACCGACGAAGATGCCTTTAAGGTATTCCATTAATGTTGATTTGTACTTTTCAGAGCTCTATGAAAGATTACTAATTAAGAATTTCCTTAACATGGGATAATTCACGCTAATTAAATTGTGTAAATCGTTTAATGATGAGCAGAAATTGAGAGAGAGGGGACAAGGTTTAGGCATTCTTGTGTCAAAATTTCCGAGGGACACAAGTGCATCCTACTCTTTGCAGGAACCCGAGGAGGCAAGTACAAGTGTACAACTGGTCATTCGTTACCTTTTTTTTTAAAAAAAAAAAAAAAGCTCCTCGGCATTCTTAATATATAGTTCCCTCATTTTAGTTTATTGAGAATCATTAATATGCATGCAGGTGAAGGACTTTCTTCAACGTTTGGTTGAGTGGAAGCAAGCATCTCAGCGTACATGCTCCAAAGTGTAAATGTGTACTCTATATGGATGACATGTACATCCATACCCTGCCAATTACATATTAAGTTCGGGGTAGGATATATAGGGCTTTTTAAATTTTTGTTCAATTTCAGAAGGAAAACACAAAAATGTAAGGAAAAGGAATGACAAAAAGTGTCGTTCTTATTTCCCAAACTCAACTGCATTGATGTAACCAGTCGACTGCAGAGAAAATTTCTGTAGCTTCTCAGGCTCATGTAAATGCATTCAACTATTTCTGTTTTCCATCTCCTATGACTAATTCCATATCATATGTATATACACATATTCTTAATAATAACTGTCTTGTTTTCGAGCCCCAAAACTCAGGACCAATTCGTTTATTTTATTATATAGAATTGAAAACATCGATCTTCGTTGACCCAGTGTTGAATGACGAGTTGAAATTAAATTACGTGGTTGACATCGTTGGCCCATGAATTTCTTAAAGTGTAAGGAGCAACTCACAGATGTCAATTTCACTTATACCCGTGCCAATTATATTCAGCCTCCGCTGTTCATTGGACTTGGAGGTCTAAATTAATTAGACGTCAATTATTGGTTACCCCTTCTCAAAGTTCTTAGGTGCCTTGATGGGGATGGACGAATGTTTGATTAATGGACATTATTATTCTATGGCAAAGAAGAACCCAAATATCGAGTCACCGGCGCAGGAAAATGGAATATTTTGGTGACAGATCGATTCATAGTGTAACTACGGATTCCGAATCTATTTTTAACATATATAATGAATTCAATACATGCAACAAACTATGCTGTAGCCGAACCACGTTTCGCTTCATTATTGGCTACAATGCAGAACCATTTTAAGTATAAATCCTGGAAATCTACAATGCTGGTGCTGGCTGCTTAGGAACACAGTGAAGTGAGGACACGTGTATAGACCAGAACTTGTATGGAATACAGCGGCAGGATAAATAACTTCCCCCATCTCAGTAAGATATCCTTAAGTTGGAAATAAGACAATCACAGGCATTATTAAGATTTGGGTTTTTTTTTGGAGATTCAGGTAATGCGAGGGGGCCCCTTATCAACTGTCTTGTAAGGTTTTCTATCTTGTTTCTGTAGATGACTCAAAAAGTGGCAGTTGTGGCTTGTGAGCGAGACCTTTGGTGCTCTAACAATGTTGTACTATATGCCACATTATTCAACGCCTGTATTATTGTTCCTTCGTCTGTGCCTTGACACACTGCCATTTATGGCTTTCCCTCTTCCATTCTTTTTTGCAGTGATCATTGGCACTATTGGATTCCCGAACTCCTCACTTTATCCTACTTACATGGGGCTTTTTTTTTTTTTTTGCCTCTTGTTTTCAGTATCATCACCAAAATATCAGTATGTATGCACACACATAGTAGAAGCTGCTCGGTTCTAGGTGAGTCAATTATTGGTGCCCAAAGAGGAAGAATATTAAAGTAATAATTGTTTTGTCACAGCCTTTGAAGTGTTTATCTTTTCTTTATGGAACCAGTACTGGGTCAGCATGCATGTAAACTGGTTTTGTCTGTTACTAAAAAAATTGAGCGTATGTGAACATTCCTGAATGATATAGAGATATCGATTATTTAAGTTAGATTGGTAGGTTGTGTAATCACATGGAGGTAGGTTGGCCATAAATTAAGAAAGGAAAATTTCATGTCCCATTTAAAAGGTGCTTCGTTTTACATATTAAATTTGAAACAGATCCCGTTCGCAGTCTTTATTGGGGGAAAGGCAGAAAGGTCGGGTATAATTACATTTATAGGGTTATGCTTTGCTGTCAGACTTCCATATATACGAATGAAAGCCATGCTTTATTTGTTTTATAATTAGTAGAAAGCCGAGTTGGCAGCACAAAATGTGAAACAATTTAAACGATCACAAACGACCCAAATATATATAAGACACATGCCGAAAGCCGTGCCTGTGTGCCCATGTTCTGGAAGCATGAAACAATGCACATTATTGACGCGACGATGGTTTCTGATGGAAAAGCTGCCACGTCCCGGAGCTTTCAAAATATGTTAATATGATGGGAATGTGATATCGAACAGCATTAGATGCTTTAATTGAATGGGGGAATGCAGAGGATTACAAAGAGAGGGAGGCGATAAGATGCTTAGGAGGGAAGGAATGGGAGGGAATCTGAGAAAAGGAGGGTGAGTTGATAGTTAGAATTTGTCAGGTAGGGAGGAGGGGGCCTTAAAGCTGAAAGGTTAGGTCAGTGAAAGTGAAACAGAAGAGAGAGGGATTAAGGGAATCTAAATGGTTGAAAGAGGAGTTGGAATCCACTTAAAAGTAGGGGTTTGATGTGAAGAGTGAAGAATATAAGCATAGATATTTGGAGGGGAAACGCTCGGATGGATCCACCTGCATGCTGCTGTGTGCTGGACGTGGAAAGATGGTGACCACTGGATCCACCATCCCCATTACAGATGCCTCTCCCTTGAATTTAACTAAAGCCCTTTTCAGTTTCAATTATTGGCCAGATGCAAGAGTTGAAACTTGAACCTCCCACTTCTCTCTTTCTCTCACAACCACCCACACAAATTGTGTCAACTACCTTTTAGGTCCGTAATATCCACGTTCTTGGCTCTTATATTAGTTGACTTGAAGAGAATAGAATTAGTATTTGATAGCATTTCATACACAAGGCAAGAACAACTGAAACTAAACGAAAGAGAGAAGAGAGGTTGAGGGAGAGAGGGCATGCATAGAGGAGGGAAGCTCCAAGGAGGGGTGTCAGAATCTGTGCTGTCTGGGGATGGGGAATGGTCCTCAAAGTACACGTGTCTGAAGGGAAGGGGCGAAAGGGGACACGTGTAAATGATAGAAGGAATCGGTCCCCGCATTGAGGGTCGAGCCCAGGGAGGAGATCTATGAAGAAAAATAGAAGTTTAATAATTGCTGAGTTTGGGTGCGTGAGTTTATGCAGTAGCTGTGAAAGGCCCAAGTGCAAGTGGTGGTCACATGGGGGCACAGATGCCCTGCCCGTGGGGAGCAAAGTACCCTGTCCCTCTTTTTCTGTGAATGCTTCTATTTTATATTATGTATGGTATAGTTACTCTTTAGTGCATCCCTTTGCTCTCTCCTTGATACGTATTCCTTGTCAGATAACTGCATGATTGAGCGTGTGTTGCTTTCTCATTGGTCCTTTCCTACTTACTTTTTATACTTCTTCCCTCTTCATTGCCTATCACGGTATCACCTCATATATCAATATTATATCCTTCCCACCATTTTCTCAAAATCAGAAAAACACCGTATACCCAACATCGAACAAAGCCACACAGTATCTGCATGCGTATTCACTACTCATTTCATTTTCAGCCTTACAAACATGCAGTTGAATTTTCAAAATCCTCAAAATATATAAGTAGTATTCACCATTCATTTCGTTTTTAGCCTTAGTAACGCGCAGTTGAATTTTTTAAATTTGACTCACCGCACATGTGCTAATGAACGGAAAATTAATGAATATATCAAATACAGCTTTAAAAATGAAATAATCCGTGTGCGGGCGCACGCGTTGCTTAGTTTAATGAGAAATTAAAGTAAATTTGCCCATAAAGAAAACACTTTTTGTCAAAACAAAGTATTGTGATATGTGATAGTTATAAGTGGTATAAAAGGGGAAATGAAGAATAAGGCATCCAACAAGACATGTGTCTTTCGGTGATCGAGAAACTTTGGAATTCTGAGCCTGTAAAACATGTATCGATACTGACATAATTAGGCAATATATGTGCCAATAATTATAACCAACAAACTAAGAAACTAAGCGGACACTAAATCTAAAAGGCAAAATATAGGAAAGAACCGAAATGGGCAAAGGGACATGCATGAACCCCGAAAAGAGGGCGACACAGTGGGACAGCGAGTTAGGGGGGGGTGGAAAGAAATTTTAAGAAAAGGAGGGGAGAAAAAAGAAAAGAGAGAACGATATATCATATATGTTAGTGGTAATAAGGACATGGGAGGTCAGGCATGAAGAGAAAAAAGGAAAAGGGTGGTTGCTATTCCCAACCAAGCATGTGCTGAGTAGCTTAGGAATAGCAGTGGGAAGGGTAAGCCCCTTCGCTGATAGCTACCCGACCTCTGTTTAAAAGTTTGAATCCTCCAAAACTTCAAATAATACCCACTTTAAAGCTCTCCTCCTTTAATTCCAACATTCTTTTCCTTCTTTTCCCTTTCCTAACTCCAAATCATTTAGCATTTTCCCCCAGTGAATGAAAAAGTAAAGATCAACCGTTGCTTCTGCCATCCGCAAAGCTTAGCTTTAAATTAACTTGGCTTCTCTCCTCCTCCACTCACTGGCCCATTAATTACCTTTTCCTCTTGTATGTATGCATTTTTAGATGCTGACACTTGGTGGTATGCAGAAATTTTTTTTTTTAATCGTGATTACTGGCTGGATAAAACAGTTAAAGTAAGCATTTATCTTCGCTTTCTATTTTAGACTTCTACTCATAATATTATGCTATATGTCTTGTGATATGCTTCCATTCACCGAGAAACACAGAAGGTAATAGCACAGTCTAATCAAGATGAATTTGGCACTATCCGAATAAAGAAAGCAATGATATATAAAATGATTTAAACCCATAAGACATCACCGGGGCAGCATTAAAAAAAGTCATGTCACAATGTGTGTGTGTGTGTGTGTGTGTGAAACGAAGGAGATGTTTGCATTTTTCTTGATAATTGACGTTATGAGAACCGAAGGTACGTACGAAAAAACTGGTTATCGATCGGCAGATTTAATTGGATTGAGATTACTGGAATGGCAATCTTAATTAGATCCCAAGCAATATTCATATGTATTGACCTTCTAACATAAGAAGAAAAGTTTGCGACAGTTCTAATTTAATTTTACATTCGCATAATCCTGATTAGACCGATCTTGGAGTGGGTTTCTGATCGATGTGCTGATGAGGAGGTTTATTCATGTTATTTTACTATCCTTCTAGGTTGATACAATGGGAGACGTGGCTAATTTTAAAAGTTGCATTTGGATATTGGACTTTTTTCCAAGCCATGATGATGAACTTTCGGTACGGTGTACAAAGAGTTCCATTATTCACCGCTTAATTGACACAGGAGGCCTCAATATTTCAAATTAGCGACCAAGTTCTTTGAACGCTTTCAGTTACGAAGAACAATTTTCCTGCTTCACAGGTACGCTTTATAATTAAGAATAAGCCCTGAAAAAGGGACACCTGCTTCGTGTCATACTACTTTTGATCCTAAATATAAAAACTACTTGACTAATTTGAGTAGATTAAGAAGATAAGTTAAATTAGTTATTTGTAATAAATACGTGTT